TGACAGGTCATTCTCAGTAAGTCTGTCTGTCAAACTAGGCAGTGCTGATCAAATATTTATCTAGATTCTGTTACTGTGTTGACTATTTCTCTCTTAAAACCGTTTCAGAAACATATTTTAGTGTACTTTTTAACTGGAATATGAGATTGTGGTCTGTGTGTTAGAATGAATAAAATCTAAATTTCTTATAGAATTCTTAACATTTGTAGGCTTTATAGGTTTCTTAAACATATCATCTACTATCATCACCACTTTACGCTATCAATTGCATCTATTCTAAACTGAAAGAAATGAGCACAGAAAGTATGTGTGTGTGTGTGTGCGTGTGGGTGTTTTCTGCTTACGTTGGCACTGGGTTGCCCTTGGCCTCGCACTCAATGATGATATTATCTCTGGGGTCGACAATGTAGTCCTTCACTGACTGCTTCACTATGGTGGGGGGCTGCTTCACTGTGGAAGTAGAGAGACAGACAGATTTTATTTCAAAGATTAAAAAGATAATCCCGCCAACATTATTAGTGACAGGTAAATATTGAATATCATATGTATTTTACACACAAATATTAACTACCAGCTACACTTATGAATGGCCAAAAACAAAGCAATTTCTTCCTCTTACAGTCAACTTTATTATATGTCATTTTTATGCCCATTTTAGCAAACACTGCAATCAGAGATCCTTGATCCCATGCAAGAATACTGCTTGGCTAAATACTCACAGGTAATAACAATTAAAGAAAGAGTTTATTACATCTTGGATTTATTTGGCATTTGGATCTATCAGTTGTGATAACCTAATAATAATACTAATAATTGCTTAGAGCTCTGAAAAAATGATATTGCCATGAAAAATAGGTCCAACCATACCATGTACATTTGCTCATGTAATAAATGGAATTCTACTGTATTAGTGTTCAATACAAAATATAGGACATAATATTTTGTGAAATTATAATAAAGTAATATAATATAAATATAATAAACTCTTTACCTCATACATCAGTCCAAACCGGCCTTAAATTCAGATAAAATAAATAACTAGAACTTAGTTTCCTCCCCAGCTGTGTTCAGTCTACTATGCATATTTAATGGCTCACTTAAGCCGAACCCCTCAACGGTAAAGACACACCACACGGCCAACATTTCTCTGCCCTTTCTCTGCATTTCTAGCTCACTGAGCCCTGCGGGGCTTTGAATCTGTACACAAGTGTACACACACACTCATACATACTGTACACACAACATGAGATAACAAGCACTTCAGAGCGCCAGCCGGCTGCTAGATTAAAGGAGGAGCTTGATGCTCTAAAAGAAAGCTATGTGACTAGACTAACTGAGAGGACAGAGATGAAAGAACAGCTCCCCTCTTAACTGAACCAGCTAACTGACTACTACTCCACTACTGAAAAAGGGCCGTATTACATATATTCTTCGTGTTGCTATGGCAACCATAAGAGTATTTTATAGTATGCTAAAGCCAGGCTATGGGAGATAATTGGTTTGGAAATTACTCCTCAACATAGCAGCTTATACTGCATCCTCCAAGACCCACATTCTTTAAACCACCTCTGAGTTAGGAATGCTATATTGCTTTATGTAATGCTGTTATGTGTTGTCTTTTTCTTACAATCAGTGATATGTTGGAAAATACCAATCACTCACTGACAAATGTTGAATGTGTTCCCTAAATCAAACCGGTCAGCAAATGTTTCCTAAATCTATTGTACGACTGTGTTTTGCCTGTGCAGCAAGAGGAGAGACAATCTATAAATACCAGTTGTTTAGTCCATAATGTGCGCTCTTTTTCATGGTCAAATTAGTGCTACTGCAGCGCTATAAGCTACAAGCTGTACAATGAGTTGATAGGAGAGGAACATTAGCAGTGACATGTTAAAAAAAAACACTTACAGTCTTGCAGGATCTTTGCTGTTAGTCCAACGTATAGCCAACAAGAGACAGGGACAAGGATGGAGAAATTGTAATGTGATTGTTAATCATATTAGAGACAGATCAATATTTATAGTACTATGTTACAACTTTGCATTTATGTTATGTTATAGCTCAGTGGTTCCAAACTGTTAGGGTTCAACTTAAATGGCAGTAGCAAGGTTAGGGTTAGGGTTAGGGCTTTTATTTAGTTTGTCTGTCTTACTGGAGAGTAGCAGTGCTACCACCACTGACAGTATATATATAATGGACAGAGCTTCCAGGTCTGTAAAGTCAAGCTGACATTGAAGTGTCTTAAACCTGCATTCTTTCTAATAGCCAGCAGGGGAGTGGCACCATTTATGGTCTTAATTGTCAGTTTCAAGTCCTTTTCAACACAGCATGATGTTCATTTAGTAACTTCTGATCCTATTTAGAGGAAAATAGACCATTAATTAAGCAAGTCATTCTCAGTGAGTCCGTCGACCAAACGATAGGTCCTCACTCCAAAATCAAAATACTGCAGCTTTTTATAGTTCCTCACTTGACTTCAACAGTCCATAGATGACTTTAGAGTAATATCAACAGCGTCATATTTTGAAAAGGAACACAAAAAGAAAAAACTGTATGTAAGCAGTGAAGTAGTAGCTTGGTTTGAACCCCAGCTTGAAAACCACTATTCTTTTTATCACTTGCTGTACTACTGCTGTACTGCAATTATTGTTTTAGTAGCTTTTAATTGCATTTAGTCTGAACAAGCCTTAATTAGTTGTAACTGTGATTGCAATGCTTCTATTGTTTGTTTAATGTTGCTTTAAGCCTTGGTTGTACTCCCTTGCTGCAGTGCTTCTTATCTGATTGAGTTTTAAACCCCAGCTGTACTTAAGTTATTTCAGCTGTCATAGTGTAAAATCAGATTGAAGAGGCAGCAAAAAGGTTTGTATTCAGTGACAGGCAGAATGGGTGGATGGAGATAATGTGGGTGTTAAATTGGTCTGCAGTATGTGTGGACTGGGATCTGAACCCAAAGGCTACCAGTTAAGAACCACTGTTACAGCAATTATGTTATAGAGCTTATGCAACAAAATTTCTAAATTAGTTGTTATACAAATGGCTATAGATTAAGACTATAGCATGAAACAGAGAAACAATGACTGAGGACTCACCTGTAAGGAGTTCCCGTACCGGCAAAGTATGAGCAGTGAGGAAGAGAAAGACAACACACAGTGAGGCTTCAGACTGCACATCAAAGATGTTACACAGGGACTTTCATAGGGGAATCACATAAATAAGTGTAGTAACATTACTGCTTTAAAACAAAAGCACAAAAAAGATACAAGACTAATTAAAGCTGCGGGCCCTCACACTCCATGCAACTCGGGGTGTGCTGCGGCCGCGTCACGTGCCGGCGTAACACGTGCAGACCACAACATGAAAATTTCACGTAAATCAGATCAAAATCGCAACGCAGCGCTTACTTCCTGTTGCCAGTAGGTGGCCGCTATCACTATATCTGATACTTGTCATGTAGACAGCGTGGAGCTCCTTATCAGACATGTGACAGTCTTCGCTGAGATCGGATCTTGTACGCTGAAGTTTTGACAACTTCCTTTTTCATGGCGAGTCCTTGAAATTGGACGCCACGCGCACACCGTTTGACTCACAGTCACAAATAGCCAAACTTTTAATTGGGGTGGTGTTTAATGACCAAATTTGAAGTCGAGCTGATAAATTCCCTAGGAGATGTTTGTTAAAATACAAAGCAAAAAATCGCCAGAAATGACCACGAAATGGTCAACTTCCTTTTGGGTTTGGAGGATGGCTCCAAGAGGCTTTTTTGCTTGTCTGAGCATGATACACATGTGTACCAATTTTTGTACATGTCAGTCATACACGTCTTGGGGGCTGATTCGGAGGGGCGCGGCTTAGTCATGTGGCGGCGCCCGTGCATGGGTACAAATGAATACGTCGAGTTTAGCCATGTTTGAATTTTGTGCAATGTTTCGTGAGCTGTTGAGCATGGGAAAGCGTCCAAAAATTTGATTAAAGGCGTAGAAAAATAATAACGGAGAATTCCTACAATCCTAAAAATCTAGTGCTGATGAGTTTAGCCTTTTCTGGATTGACTGCTGCTTGCGAGGAGGCAGTTCCTTCTAGTCAGTAGTAGTAGCAATAATCAGTTTAGTCAGTTTATTCATTGTGTCAGAAAATACTTCTAGTCATGTGTTTGCGATAGACATGATTACAGTTGCCCGTCCTCGTCCAGGTCTCCATGGCGGAGAGGACAAGTGATTGAACCCTCCTCTGTTCTTTAGACCTTCCTGAGGTTTCTTTCATTTTGGGGGGGAGTTTTACGCTGAATGTTGTAGAGATTGTAACGCACCCAGAGGCAAATTGGGATTTTGGGGTATATAAATAAAGTTTCACTTGATTTGACAACAGTATAACTCTATTTTATGTTTATCCAGTGATTTTGTAATGCATGGGGGTATGATTAGACGGGCTTTCATTGTTTTAAATTACAATCTGGAGTAAAGTGTTGACTAACAACAACAGTCTAATAAAACGACAGGGATCTGATAATAAAGTGTGTTAGGTGACGTAATGTCTTTAGGTGACTGTAAGTGAGTTTGATGTAAAGCAACACTAATGAGATATTATTCAACTGGAGCACAATTTAATGAGATTTTAAAAGAATACTGTAACAAACCAAAGCATGTTTACAATGATGGATTATAGTTTGGTTGTCCTTCCAAATCCTGTCCCATAAATGTTTTATATACCTGTACGTTTAGACATTTCACAGTCATATGGACTGACTATGATTTAAACCCCCTCCCCACTGACACACAGGAACACACACCCAGTGATGAAGCAACCCTGTGTCAGGAGCATGACCTTGTGTTTGCTTGACAGTTACACATGAGCCTTAATATAGTGTTACACACACTTAATAAGTGTGTACACATGTATGTGTGCTTACATCTATGCTGCTATTATATGTGTCCATATGACGACTGTGTCTTGTCGGCTACGACTCCACAGACCTATTTACTAAATTTAAATAGTATTCATCATGAGAGATAGAGTATGTGTGAGTGTGTGAACGTATGTATCCGTAGGGATGTGCAGAAAGCACTCATCAATAAAGGTCAAGAGTGCAGTTCGCTGTGAAGTAGATAAGAAGACATAAGGAACAGAGGGGGATGGGGCTTCTTTTCACTGAATGAAACCATCAACACAATGTGAAGCATGTGGTGCCTTAGTTAGCTCTGACAAAAAGCTAGAAGGGAAGAGTCATTAGGGGTTTAACATGTTGTATAGCAGCAATTCAAAAATGTGATGACGTAAAAACTGAAAAATCTACTTTATCAACTAAATCTGGTCGGTACACCTACCAAAAGTACACTGGGGGCCTTTCTGATATACATTTAATGGCTAATTTGCAATTAAAAGACAAACAATAATACTGGTCTTTGGACTGTGCACATTGAGAGCTACTGAAATACCAAAATTAGGCCAAATAAGTAAAAAGTTGACCGGATTCTGTTTCTGCTGTTTGAAAATGTTCAAAACCAGTCTCTGTGATGATTTAAAAAAAAACATTAGTCCACATGTTGAAGCTATTTACATCTGAAAAGTAGCTAATGTTAGCAAAATGCTAGCTAACTCATTTAAGGGTTTATGTGACTAAAATCCCTGCCTGTCGGTTCACCACAGTATGGTGAATACATTAAGGAGAGGTCAATGGGTTATAACAGTATTATCCAAATGGTTTCTGTTAGGCAGGGTGTGTGCATGTGCGCGTGTACCAGATCAATAGAGCATCATAAGTCCAGGGTTGAAAGGTCAGGCTTATAAAAAAAAACAGAGGGAGAGATGGTGCCATAGGGGGAAGACAAATAGAAGACAGAGCAGCTGACAGCTGACTGCTGGGAGTGTGTGTGTGTGTGTGTGTGTGTGTGTGTGTGTGTGTGTTTAGCGAGGGTAAGAAAAAAAGAAAGAAAATGCATGACTTCTCCCTTTCTCCTTAGTGCTTTTGTTCCCAAATCCCTCAGGAATCCATTTACAGCAGAATCCAGTTATACTTGTCACAATGGAAAGGTATGAGAATGTGTGTGTGTGTGTGTGTGTGTGTGTGTTGGTAGTGTATCTATATAATATATTAATGCGTGCATGTTAGAATCAATGAAGACCTATCATCTTTGAAGGCACTCACTATCACCCAGGGATTTAAAGCAGTCTATTCTCATGATAATCAAATGTTAATGTAATCCTCCACACACTCTTCTGGTTTCATATTTTACAAATTAATGCTAAAATGCCTTTAAACCTGTGCTTTAACTTCACCGTTGTAGTTCCCCTGAATCATAAACTGCACTTCTATAGAGTTGGGGGACGTGAAAAAAGAATAGGGATTTTTCCCCACTTCACTGTAAGCTCACAATAGCAACAAAAACAAGGCCTAAAGGACTTTCTGCAAATGTGTTACTTGCGATAAGTTTTAAAATGATCTGCCCTTTACTAAAAGGCTAGAAGCAACGACTTTTAATATGACAAGGCGAACTAGCTCTGTGTCAGCAGTATACAGTTTAATGCAGGGATCTCAAACTGCTGGCCTGGGGGACACTTCTGGCCCTGCGTCCCCCTACCTCTGGCATGCAACATGATGCTATTTTTTTTCATATCAATTTAAATGACCCCATCATATACAAATAAAATGGCAAAGGTAAAAGGTTCCCACGAATGCTGTGAACAACAACAATGAATAAGTGATGTGATGAAATAAAAATTTACATAAATTGTTGTTTGCTTTTTCATTTGTTAAATATGATGTTAGGAAATGTTTTTAGGATATTGTGGTTTTTTGTAGTACTTGAACATGGCCCTCCTATCAGATGACAATACCAGCAGAGGCCCCAAGCCAATTTGAAAAGTTTGTGAGCTAGAAATAGCTAAACTAAACCAAAAACTAAATTTCCACTGTTATTCCAAACATGACGATATTCCACATTTGATAAGGTTCCTGAAAACAGCATATTCAGTTTAGATATTCCTAATTCCAGTCACAATATATCACAATGTCAACCTTTTCAAGATGGTGGCTGAATGAATGAAAGAGGGAGGCTATGTTTACGAGGAGGAAAACTTTGAGCCACTTTTCCTCTTTGTGTGGAAAGAGGATTTTTTCAAGCAGCTCCAGCTGTTCCACTTTTACCACAGAGCAACATGAGGAAATACCTCTGTAGGATGTCCAGTAGCTACATCATTAACAGTTAATCGGAGTATGTACAGCTGCATGGAAACAGGAATATTAGTGGAAAACTTATTTTCATTACCCATGTAAACTGCTTAGTATGAATATTGTCTGAAAAACTGAAATATTTCGTTCTTGTAAAAGTAGTGAATGACAGCACATAGTATATATCTAATAACACTGGTACTACCATCCTTATTTGTCCAAAGAGTTGTTTTCCAGACAGGAAGTCAATAGGATAGTAGCAATCCTAGCAGCACTGATCATCCAACCTATCTGAGCCGTTGATCTCAGCCATCTTCTTTTAACTTTTAACCAAATTAACTGACACAGCTTTTGCTATGGTTATTGTATCATCACCTACTGTAACATACTGTGTTAAATTTTTGCTGAGTGACTTACGGTCTTGTGGGACTTCGATGGGTGCTGCTTCGCGCCACAGTAGCAGCAGCAGTGACACAAGAGCCAGGACCGCATGCCCGTCCTGCCCCAACATCTCTCCCCCTCCGATTGGCCGGCCTCGCCACTCACCTCTCCTGATTGGTTAGATGGTTCTCCTGACAGCCGCAGCGAGGACCTGTGAGCAGACAGAGAGACAGATGGTTAGGATGAAGGCAGAGTAGTAGACTGTACAGTATATGTACAGTAAAAACTGTTGCATGTGTGGATGAGCGTGTAGCTGTGTATGTATTCTGGCATGAGAGAGAGAGAGAGTGTGTGTGTCTTTGTGTCGACTCTGGCCTACATTCACAGCTGAGTCTCTGTGTGGCTCCCTAGAGAGAGCAGCCTAGAAAACAAAGCCAACGAGAAGCTCTGTGGCACTGATTTTTAAAGTGGGATCAGGCTGCTTCACAGCAGCAGAAAGTGGAGTGGTTTTCAACCAACCATGGACGACACAATCCTGGCAAAACCTGCGATGGTGTTGCATAAAAGCCAACCAAAAACATAGAAAAAGTAAGCTTGGTATGATGCCTCCTGTCTGACTTTAAAAAATAGAAAACAGAATCCCTTGATGTTAGATTCAAAGGCGAGCTCACTGAACAAGTAACAGAGATAGTATTTAGGGATACATTTTTCAGTTCAATTTTAAAAGCCAATTTTAAAAGATGTGTAAAACAGTTAAGGCTAACCTCAGCTGTTTCAAGATGATAAGAAACATGTGTGACATTGATTGTGCCTTTATGTTTGTAAATGCAATGATTTTTCCCACATATATATGGTTTAACTACCTGGTCCAAGGCCAACCAGTCTGTAATTAAATCCGCCTGTAACTATATCTTCATAATTGGGCCTTGTAAATAAGGTACCACCATTGCCACATTTTAGGTAAATACAAGATCTTAAGCCTTGGAAATTTGATTGATTTTCACTATGTAAAGCTTGTCTTTGTGCCTCAGCCCATCAAGAGACTACAGAGCGGATGCAGCTCCACCAGAGCAAGTGGCAATTGCAAAGTTCCATTCTGTAAAACATCTTTTTCTCAGTCCTTGAACTCGCAACTTGATCTCTTGAAATTTGCTACTAACGTCATCACTTTCAAGAAAACTATTAGTTAATTCAGTAACAAACCTGCGCTCATGTATAGTTTTTAAAAGTAATGCAAATGCGTGTTTTATGTATCTTTGAGTATTCTGTTAACTCTCTCCTTATCTCACTGTCTTAACCTCTTATTTTCTAAAATGCCTTTATTGGGATCAGTGTTGCAAATTATCATCTGCTATAAACACTTTCACTCTGTCTATGTTTACTGTATCTGTCTTTATCAAATGAACCACAAATAAATAAGCTTTTTGGTGTCAAGGTCCCCCAAACTGATATACATTAGGCCACAGACCCATTTAGTTATTCCATAACTGCCTATATTAACAGTGAAGAGTGTGATAAATTTGAACAGAATAGTAATAGTTATAAAAGTATATATATATATATATACAATATAAGTTATAAATTCTCTCATTTGGCCAGCTTCTACTGGGTGAAATGATGTGACATTAAAATAATCCCATTTTTTTGTAGACCTCCTGGAACCCCTTAAAGGACCCCTGGGGGTATACAGTGTGAGAAGCACTAGTTTAAATGATCTGCCCACTTGGCACCCCACTCGCTCACCTGGTAGAGCTGGCGCACCATGTTCCAAAGCTAAGGCGTTGCTGCAGCGGCCATGGGTTTGACTTTGACCTGTGGCCCTTTGCTGCTTGTCATACCTTCTCTCTCCTTCCTTTCCTGTCACTCTACATCTCTATCAATTAAAGACAATGAAAGCCCCTAACTATTACTCAAGTAGGAAAATCTTAAGTCGGGATAGCCCTGTGGAAAATACTTCTAATTTACCTCTTATCATCTCACCATGGAGACAAAGTCTCAAGACATTTTGCCTCACAGGTCTCATCGAAAATTAACAAACTGAATTTACCGATTTTAGATGTTCAATTCTTGGAGTCAATATTTTGTTTTCAAATGCAAAAGGAAACATGTAATTAAACAAAAGAAAATATTACCAAATGGAGTAAATATCAATGTTTTTCCATCATTTTGTCGAATACTTGATATCACTCATTTACTGATGTCAAGAGGATGGTGTGATATTTGTCTCAATATTACTTAATTTGCAGGAGACAATATGCATATTTTTCTACACTCTACACTAAAATCTACTTACTGCCACACAACCAGCCAGCACACATGCCAAAGATTTCTCATTTACTCCCCACCACCTCCACATGACAGTCAGGTTTGTGCACTGGCAACCACACCAGGACCACCTGCCCACTGTTAATCCCTGTCCCCCATGCTGCCATCCCCGACTAGGATCAATCCTTCACTCTGCTTCAAATCACACCAGAGCTCAAAGTTATGACAACTGGATAAATTAACAAAATATTAGGTGGGAGTGTGGGGGTGTATGTTTACCATAAGGCTGCCATTTCAAATCTCTAGAAAAATATGAAGGCAAAATGAGGGTGGGGACATAAATAACACATAAATCAGTCAACTTTTATTGAGTCAAATATATGAATAAAAGAAATGTGGAATTGCATTACCATATCCTTTTAGTGAAAACCAAGCAGATTATTTGATAAAGATATTTTAGGTTGGTGTCAAGTATCTTTCTCGGCTTGTTTTTTTCTTTTGGGTAGAGTGGATTTTTGCAAATGTCATTAGAAGCACTAGGAGGAGCCAAAGGAATTCAGGGGTTTTGCTGCTACAGACTTTCTTTGTCTGTTGTGAACAGTGGCTTATGGTGACTGTTAGCAAACGTTACCAAACTTTAGATGAAGCTTTGCTGTAAAGAGTCTGTTTGCCCTCTTTTCCCCTGTAATTTGGCCCTAAATTTTAGCATTTACCATTTTTATTCTATTTTTTTAAAATAAGATAAGATAAAATCTTTGCCTTCTAACTTAACTGGCTCATTTAAACATTTGTTCTGTTTCTGTTGATCAAGCTGTCCAGCAAAAGTTACAAAAATGAGAAACAAAGACACCCTTACTGAAACATGTCGGCATTGTGGAGTTCAATTAGGATCATTCTTACAGCACTATTTCCTGATGATCATACGCTCAAAAATGGATCCGAATTGTCAAAAACCACACAGTTTAGGATCAGCCTTTATCTCTTTAAACTGCAATAACAGACTGGTCTCACAACAGAGAGAAACAACAGCTTTTTGGCCTGAGGGCAGTAGTCAGATTTCACCCAAAAAACACCTACACCCCCCCCCCCACACACACACACACACACATACATATTATGCATAAACCATCTGGTGGTATGTCAATTCAACACTATTCAACTAAATAGCTAATCTGCCCCTGGGGAGCTAATACCCCAGCATTGGCTGGTATGAGGTGCCAATCTCACACACACACACACACAACATGCATGGATGCAGATGCACAGGAAGGTACAGTCACACACACACACACACACACAAAAGCACACATATCTCTGTTGCTCAGTTGAAACCCGACCAGTATCACCCCATCTCTGTTAATTACTATAACTCTTTTCACACACACACACACACACACACACCAGAGAGGAATAGAAGAGGGAAGGGATTAGGAAAAGAGCATGGCACACAGTCCAATATGAGTCTTAAGACAGAAATCTGCTTTGAATTGCAGATCTACTCCCACCATAAAAGTCAAGGAGAGAGAAAATCAAGATAAAGAGGAAAATAGTAGAGAGACATGGACAGAGAAGAGAGAGAGTGGCAGTGAAAGCACTGAAATAGGTCAGTGTTTCTCTACACACTTCAGTGCATTATAAATGATAGCACACTAGTGACACACTGAGACTGAGTGCAAATACAGGCGAGAAAAACGGTCAGTGAACACCAGTTACTACATGCTACTCATTACCTCACGTAGCAGTGGAAGGTAAAAGCTACACTGCAGGCTGCAAAAACCTGGGGCCCATTTTACAAAACTTTTTTTTACAGTCACAAATGTTAAACTAACATTGTTCTAGCACGGAGCAATCAGGCACCTGGTTTGAGATAGACACAGGTCAACCATTTTTCTTTCACTATAAATAGAGAACAACTGTCTGGATAAAGGACTTAAAGGTATTACAGATGAGGTAATTTCAGATATATATAGTATCACCAAAATCTTTGAATCTCGTCACACTTCCACAAGGGGTGATTGCAGTTTCTAATGTTATGTCATATATGAGTGGAAAATAATTTCCGATACCGATATCA